TGGTATGATGACAAAACAAATGTGTAGTGAATTGTGTATTCCTCTCCAGTATCGCTTTCCATAATGACGTCATTTACTCAAAAAAAATCATCGCTTTCTTCTCTCCTGTTTATTTTGTTTACAGAAAGCAACACAGGGTCTCCAGGAAACTCTTGATACAACTATACTATGTATACTTGGGTGGTAGGTAACAGATTCCAAAGGAATAAAAAAAAAAATATTTGTGCAGACGGGAGTAGGCCTACATGTCCCGAGCGCATTTTTCTGTTTAATTACACGTGTACTGTCCTTCCTTTTCTCTATAGTGGAAATTAATGAACGAAGACGAAAAAAAAAAAAAAAAATTCTGTTGCAAATCATCATTATTTCAGCTGTCTAAACTTGTGTTAATGTTCCATATTAAGCAAAATATTAATTTAGAAACAAATTGTATCTATCTGCTCTTTAGCAAGACGTAAAGACTTCATAAGTTCATACAAAATATTTGCCTTTCTGTGAACTGATGGTTATGTGAATACAAAATTACATTTTCTTTCATTCTTTAGCATTCAGTAGTAGAGAATATAATTATGTGATTTGATTAGAATTCGCGTCAGGAATATTACATATGTATTATCTTTGTTACTTCACTACATTTTTTTCATATTCATTCATTTATTTTCATTGAAAAATGTTCAGTAAACACGACATCCAAACTGCACATATTAGGATATTAAGATAAATAACACAAACCATGATTAAGACCTACAGTTCAAACTTACTAGAATATACTCTAAGAGTACTTACCCAACTACATTTTAGTCATTACAATTAACTGTATGGATATTTTAATAAACAACATACAATATACTAGAGTTGTTTGAAGTGATTAATCAACACACGCACAGACACACACTTACAATAACCTTTATCCCACAACAAACTTTGTTTTTAATAATAACACAAATAAAAAAAACGGAGAAAACGAGACTGTTAAAGTAGAAATGCTAGTCACGGTGAGATCAGGGAGGGGACTGGTCAGTGGAGTCTGGGATGGGATTGCCTCTTACCCCTCCTGCGATGTTTCTCCCAGGGAATTGTTGGATACTGCAGAACTGCACAATGACAGCAATGAGATAGAGCAGGGTAGTAATGGCGGTGTTGAGCAGCTCCTGCAAGAGAGATATGTCCTTCGTAGCGGCTAAAACTTAGGCGTCGAGGAACAGGTCGGGGGGACCTTTGAGGAAACGGAGTGTGTGGTGTGAAACTAAAGAGAATTAATGATAAAAAAAAATGAATAAAGGGAGGTAAAGGTCACACCAAACCCCCCCAGTGCGGAAGACCGAGAGGTACAAGGAAGCAAAGTGTCCCGAGAGCAGCGGATCGAGGGATCTGTCGAAGCCAGGTCAGTCAGTCAACCTAAGGGGAGAGGAGGAGATGAGGCGGAAATCTACACGCTATACTTACCCCCGACAATATGTAGAAGGGTTTCAGGCGACTGGGTGGCCGCGGCCTTGTGACAGAGCTGATTAACTGGACAATGCTAGCTATTATGTAAAGCACCGCAAAGAGAGCTGTTAGAATGAGTTCCTGCAAGCAAGAGGGAAGGGAAAATTAGCACACAATACTGCAACAGGAAATCAAACACAAGCTCGGGGTACTGCGCACATGGGATGTGTAATCGACATGCTATAAAACAGTTCAATTTTAAATATAAAAATAACGATGATCATTAATAGTAGCAACACACAGGATGAAATAAAGTCTTGTCAAAATGCAACATGAATATCTGAATGCTTTCCATGCAATCTAATTTAAATTACTCTCATAATAGAAGAAGAAAAAAATATATACATAAATGCATAGCAGTTTTACAAGCCTTACTATAGTAACACTGATTCCCTCAGCCCAGTATCTTGGCAAGTCTTTTCCCCTTTTCTTATCTGATCCTTAGTGTTGTGTGATTTCCTGTTCCAATCTAAACGGAATTCAAAAATAAAACTCTAATGGGTGTGATACAGTACCAGACTAAGCTTCAGATCCAGAAATCTATATACCTGTATAAATCTTACATTCACAAAAATACCGAAACAAACAACATTTCAGTGCAACACACTCAAGTCATTATGAAGATTATGCGAATTGCATCGTTAGCATTGCAATCTATACCATGACAATTAATCATTACCCTCGCTTTATAATGTCGATAAAAAAAATCAAACAATTTCTAAATAATGAAAAGTGATGAAATACGAATGGACAGGGTGAATGTATGATTTATATACAGTTTCTGGATATTTGTTTAAACCCAGATTCCGCCACCTGGTGTTAGTCATTTTCCCGTTTAATATTATGTCTATTTATCCTTCTAATGGCTTCCTAAGATTTCTTCTTCACTATACTAGTCTACAGCTGTAGCCTTTTTTTCAAAATATGAATAATATTTATGATAATATTTATGAATCATAATGGATATGATAATAAGATTAACAAAAAATATCTATCATTATATCATTAGTGC